AGGAAACCTTTTTATTATAAGGTTAGCTGTTTTAATAATCTCTTAGCCTTGTCTTATGGTCTAATAATACCTCTCATCTCCCAAGGAGCCTATTAAATAGTTCTCTTGGATTTTCTTCTCCACAATCCTAATCAGGTGAGCTCCTGGCAGGCTGTATGCCATTCAGGTTTGCAAACCACTTGCCTTACCAATCTACTTATGAACCTCCTGGCCCTTCTTCCCGACTCCTACCCTCAAAATCTGCAGCAGGACTGGGGCCACAGAAGCCTACTGAGTTCTCCTGCTTTCTGCCTCCCTTCCCTCCATCTTGGCCCTGCCATCTGATGCACTTGGTCAAATTTGAGTAGAGCCCAGACTATGCCCACAATACCATTCCCAAACCTTAGATTCCTCTATGTACCCCAGCTTCCAGTCTCACATAATTACTCCTTTTTCTGAAAAATCCATTTTTTCTACACTTTAAAGTTATCTCTCAGTGTAAGTAGTAGTAATAATAATTCCTAACATATATTGAATATTTACTGTGTGCCAGGTACTATTAAGTTCTTTACCCAATGAAGTATTATCCCCATTTTACAGATAAGAAAAATGAAACACAGAGAGGCTAAGAAATCTGCCAGGGTCACACAATTAACTAGTATGGGACAGAGCAAGGATTTGGGTTCAGCCAGTCTGGCCCTGGCATTGACACTCACCTTGCCTGCCTCTACATAAGTGGCCTCAGAATGAATGAGGTACTAATCAGTACAGTGATATCCAGCTGCTGGGATTCCATTAATAGTCTGCAATGTATTCTCTCTCCTATGTGAATGTTCCGATGAGGTTTCACTCTTGCTCAGGATGGACTCAAACTCCCGAGCTCAAGTGATCCCCCTGCCTCAGCCTCCCAGAGTACTAGGATTACAGGCATAAGCCACTGCCCCCAGCCTCCTCTGCTGAGCTTAACTGGGCTACTACTTGTTGATTCCTTAGACCTGTAAGGACATTCTGAATTCTAATCTTTTATGTTCTTATCACTTAACAGCTCTTTGTACTTTTGCTAAGTTGGTTCCCTCAAAGGGTTCTCTTCCTCTGATTTGTAAGTTTGTAACAAAAACCTACTTTGTTCTTTTTTATGTTAATTTAATTAGAAATCAGAGAGCCCACTGGAGGGCCTGTACTTCTTGGGCTTGTGAACAGTGAAAAGACAGGGAAAGGGACAACATGGCCTTCTGAAAGAATGCTGGGAGCAGGGCCAGGAAATCTGGGCTCTGGGCCTGATTCTGCTATACTAATTCAGGCAAATGACCTCACCACATGCCTCAGTTTCCCTATGTGTTAAAATGGCTAAAATCATAGGCTTTTTTTTTTTTTTTTGTAGAGATAGAATCGCACTTTATCACCCTTGGTAGAGTGCTATGGCGTCACACAGCTCTCAGCAACCTCCAACTCCTGGGCTTAGGCAATTCTCTTATCTCAGCTTCCCGAGCAGCTGGGACCACAGGGGCTGGGTTTGAACCTGCCACCCTCAGTATATGGAGTGGGCGCCCTACCCACTGAGCCATAGGCACCACCCCAAACCATAGGCTTTTGAGTCAGACCACCTTGAATTCCAGGCCCAGTTCTGCTACTTACTAGCCGTGTGACCTTGGGCAACTTCCTTAACTTCTTTGAATCTAAGTTTCTCATCTATAAAAACTGGAATATCACAATATCTATTATTTTGTGTGGTTTTGAGGATTAAGTTAGACGTGAGGAGCTTAGCAACAGTGTTTGCACATGGCAAGTGCTGTATCAGCATTATCATCATCGTCATGGATGTTTGAGGATTAAGCAAAATCATTGTGGAAAAGTTTTAGAGGTTTTATTTAAAAAGGCTTTAAATAAAACCCTATGTATTATTTTATTTATTTATTTATTTAGAGACAGAGTTTCACTTTGTTACCCTTGGTAAAGTGCCGTAGTGTCATAGCTCACAGCAACCTCAAATTCTTGGGCTCAAGAGATTCTCTTGCCTTAGCCTCCCAAACAGCTGGGACTACAGGCATCCACCACAACACCCAGCTATTTTTAGAGATGGGGTCTCGCTCTTGCTCAGGCTGATCTTAAACCTGTGAGCTCAGGCAATCCACCTGCCTTGGCTTCCCCAAGTGCTAAGATTACAGGCATAAGCGTGGGGCCTGTGCCCGGCCCCTGTGTATTATTTTAGGCCTATGTCCTTTTTCTTTCTTGCTCTCTTTTTTTTTTGGCAGTTTTGGCTGGGGCTGGCTTTGAACCTGCCACCTCTGGCATATGGAGCTGGCGCCCTACTCCTTTGAGCCACGGGCGTCGCCTCTCTTTTTTTTTTTTGAGACAGAGTCTCACTCTGTTGCCTTGGGTCTAGTGCTGTGGTGTCACAGCTCATAGCAACCACAAACTCCTGGGCTCAAGTAATTCTCTTGCTTCAGCCTCCTGATTAGTTGAGGCTACAGGCACCCACTAACATGCCTGGCTATTTTTAGAGATGGGGTGTTGCTCTTGCTCATGCTGGTCTCAAATTCTTGAGTACAAGCAATCTACCCACCTCAACCTCCCAGAGTGCAAGGATTACAGGCACAAACCACCATATCTCCTTTTTTCTTTTTGAGACAGAATCTCACTATGTCACCCTCAGTAGAGTGCCGTGGCGTCACAGCTCAGAGAACCTCAAACCCTTGGGCTTAAGCGATTCTCTTGCCTCAGCCTCCCAAGTAGCTGGGATTACAGGTGCCCGCCACAACGCCTGGTTATTTTTTTGCTGCAGTTGTCGTTGTTGTTCAGCTAGCCCAGGCCAGGTTTGAACCACCAAGTGAACCTGCCAGCCTCAGTGTATGTGGCTGGTGCCATAACCACTGTGCTCCAGGCGCCAAGCCCATATCTCCTTTTTTCTTATAAATGCACTATAGTAACTCACTTCCCCAAAGACAGAAGTTCTAAGTTCCTTTATTACCTTTTGTTTTTTTTGTTTTTCTTCTGTCCCCTGTCCTCCCTGCCTTGGCCTCTGCTTGTCTGTGC